CCATTTTGGTCTTATCTTGTTTTGCTGTCTTTTTAGCGACCTCTTGCTTTTTTCATGGATGATGCTCTTAATGTCATCCTACAATTCTTCTGGTTTTCAGTCATTGCTGTTCAATGCATCAAATCTATTCTTTAGATAGTCTTTAAATTCGGGAGAGATATATTCAAGATCATATTTTGGCTCTCCTTAACTTGTTTTAATTGAATTTAACTTCAAGTTGAACTTGCATATGAGTGGTTGATGGTTTGTTCCACAATAAGCCCCTGGCCTGGTTTTGGCTGAAGATATTGGGCTTTTCCATTGCCTCTTGCTACAGATATAGTCAGTGTGATTCTTGTGTGTTCCATCTGGTGAAGTCCATGTGTACAGCCACCGTTTGTGTTGTTGAAAAAATGTGTTTGCAATGAATAAATCGTTGGTCTTGCAATATTCTATCAATCAAGTTCCAGCATTATTTCTGTCACCAAGGCCAAATTTCCCAACTACTGGTGATTCTTCTTTGTTTCCAACTTTTGCATGCCTATCACCAGTAATAATTAACACATCCTGATTGCAAGTTCGGCCAATTTCAGACTACAGAAATCAAAAATCCTGATTAAACAACTTTGTTTTTAAATATCTACTCTACCTGGATTAGAGAACTGCAAGATTGCAAACTACACTATAGGTAGACAGTCATTTTGTGAGAGATGATGGAGGGAAACTGAAAAATTTTAAAAAATAAAAAAACAATTTTTACACTCTTCTCAAAGATATTTATCTCCACAGTCAACTCTAATTTAAAATCTCATAGCTTCCAAATTCCTGCTTTAAGTACTGCCCACTGTCTCGAACCACAGGTGAATGCCCAAGAGCTTTCTGGTATTTCTCAATGTAAACTTTGAGTCACCGCTCTCACCTATACCACAGATATCTTCATAATGACATTCCTAGTTATTCCATATTACTTATATTTTTGTTAACTTGTGTAGTTCCTTTATTTCAGACCTTCCTTTAAGAAATAAACACCATTTTAAACCATACAGTATAGTGTCCTTTTTTTTTTTTTTCTCTTCTCTCTTCTTCCTTGTTTTCTTTTTTGTCTTTACACTAGGTCAAAGTTTTATTTAACGCAAAAACAATTATGTCAGCTTGCAGTTCATAATATAATTCATGCACTTGCTATGCTCTACGGACATACAAGATTTCATGTATGTGTGTATGTATTTAGGCGGTCTGGTGGCATAGTGCCTAAGGCACTTGAATGCTAATCAGAAGGCTGGTGGTTCAAACCCACAAGCCACTCCTCTGAAGGAAGATTGGGCAATCTACTTCTGTAGTGATACCACCTCGGAAACCCAACTAGGGGTCACTATGAGTGGGATCTGACTCGATGGCAGTGAGGTTTTTCTTTTAATTATTATTATTTTTTTATGTGTGTGTTTAGATTTGAATGATTTTTAAAAGGAATATTATATGAAAATGTAAATCAAAGGGGGCTAAATTAGAGCTGTTCCCATTCAAACAGGAGGAATTCTAAGCCCTATTCATTGTTTTCAGTCTAACCCTAAAAGAAGTTTTTGAGACCATGCTATTGGATCACTGCACCCAATTGAGTTAGCTCCATGTTCATAAGACTAGTTTTAAAAGGTCTTTGAGCTATTTTTGATCATCATCTACTCTCAGCAAATTAATTCCTATTCTCCTCTGAAAGGCATTTTATACCTTCATGTCCTGATTCATAGCATTGCCTTATTTAAAATCTTGTTCCATTTTCTAAACTTCATTTTGAAAGATACATCTCAGAAGTTGCTACCCAAATTTTCAGTATTCCTACGTGTAACTTTTTGTTTCATTTGTTTTTTCTCAACCACTTTGCTGTGTCTAATGAAGCACTTAAGAGCTCCTTACTTCATTCTGTGTTTAAAAATGTAATTTCCTCCCTTTCCCATAGGAGTAGATTGTGTACTTTCAACTATGTGGCTGCAGATATAGTAGTTTTCCAATAAATGTTTGTAGAAATAATGAACAGTTCACACATATATTTATTTGATTTTAAAAATATCTGAATTTTGCTTGCATATGTCCTCCTCCACAAAATTAAAAAGGAGGACAATTCTCACAATGTCAACCTTTTGTTTTTCAAAATTTGAGTGTACTAAAACAAAAATATTAATAACTAATTGAACAATGCTATGGAGATGTGAACAATATTGATAGAGTTTATCTTTATTATTATTATAGGGATATAAGATAGTAAAACCAATTCTCTCTTTTTTCCTTTCTGAGAACTATGAAATTTTAAAAGTTTAACAATCCTACTGCTGTATCATTCATTACAATAAAATCCCACAGGGCTTAAGAGATCACTTAAGATTAGAAATGATAACAATTCTAATGTTTAAATCAAAAGAGTCAACGATGCCTGACTAAAATTCTCTCATCAAACTAAAATCTCCTAAAGCTTAGCAAATTTATTAATTGCCTTTTATCATAAATTTGTCATTGTTTAAAATATGCTTCACTGAATCCAAATAGCTTATGTTACCAATTCTTTAGAATGGATAAATTTCAAATTTACATAAATTTAAAGTGAAAGACAATAAAAGAGACAAATTATGTAAGTCTAAGTTGAATTTATTCCTATGAAGAACTCCAAACATATCATTGCATCTTATCAGTTAATTGCTAAGCATATGAAGCCCCTTAAAATCTATTCCTATTCTACTTCTCCTGTTGTTGTTGTTGTTGTTATGTGCCATCGAGTCTGACCGACTCATAGCGACTTCTCCTTGGGTTTCTGAGGCAGTAGCACTACAGAAGTAGATTGCCCCATCTTCCTTCGGAGGAATGGCTGGCGGGTTTGAACCACCAGCCTTCTGATTAGCAGTCAAGTGCCTTAGGCAGTATGCTACCAGAGCTCTCCTACTTCTCCTAGATACGCCCTATTATTCTGCAGAATGCTTCTTGGAGTCCCTGAGCAGTACAAATGCTAAGTGCTTGACTATTAGTCAAAATGTAATGGCACTTCAACCATCGCAAAGGAACTTCGGAAGACAAGTCTGATGATCTACTTTCAAAAAGTACCAGGCTTCAAATTTCTATGGTTCCACGATACACACACTGGATCATGAGTAGCAATCAATATGTTCTTGTGCAATTCCTCTTCTCTAGGAGCTTAAGATACTGAGGTAATAGTATTGTGTGTAAGCATGTGTGTAAAAACATGTATATGTACATATATATGTATACTTATGTACATATGTACATAATGCATACCCTTGATTATACATTTAAAGTCAGACTTTATAGAACTGCATGTAAGGAGAACTAAAAGTCAGAAACATTGTAATACTGGTGCCTGGAACAATTCTAGAAGAATTCTGATGAGGATGAGTGCAATCTTACATGGCAGAATGAGAATAATTCATATAATTCACTATGGAAGTATGCAGAAGGAGGATAAACATTTATGTGTCTGGTAGAAGTGATAAAAGGTGAAAGTAATGAAAGATTAATCTGGATTGTTGGAAGGAAGAAAAAAAATCTTAGTTAGATACAAAAAAACAAAACCAGAAATATTATTTAAAAATGAGTGACCAATCAATAATTAACGGAGAGTATTTTAATATGAGTTCACATTTTGAGAAGAATCTAATTCAAAATCAAAGTTACAGATCTTGCAAAAAATTTCCCCAGCAACGGGAATAGATGAAATGAAAGTGCAATTTAAACTTAGAATAAGTAAAGAAGAGTTCCTCAATTCATCTACAGTTTAAGACTTGGGGTCTGTTTCAAGAAAAGAAAAATAAGTCATGTACCTAAAAGTCCTTCCCCAGTAAGAAATGTCCACTTAACTGACACTCCTGATACAAAGCTCATCTCCTACCTCGTTGCCAGCATTTCCTCTCAATTGACTGTGAATTTTCAATACTTCCTGAGATTGCCTCCAGCCACTCTGTGCTGTCTCCCTGTACTTTGAAGTATTCCTCTCAATTTACCACTTGTTGTTTAGAGTACTAGTCTGGTGGCAAAATTCAAAGATTTTGCAAGGTCTGTTGTTGTTGTTGTGTCGACCTTGGAGTCGACCAGACTCATTGCAATGGTCTGTAGCTAAGCATAATTGTTCCATTAAAACAAACCAAAAAACATTTACCATGTTACAAGAGTAAAAATTAGAATCCATAAATAGTACTGAGATGGAAAAAAAAGTCATCATTTTTTTCTTTTGTCCTAGAAATAATGCTATAATATTCATGACCAGAAGTGCCCAATGACAAAAATTATTTTACAAAGAATCATAAATAACACATTTACGTAACTTTTTATTATGACTATTTACTATATATTACAATGACATTTATCAGTCAAAAATGATACTAAAATTTGTGATTTCCAAGAGTAGATTTGTGAAGGGCAGGGTAATGTCTGGTATCACAAGAATCCACGTAGACATCACCTGAGAACTCAGTACCATAATGAGTTCTCCCGGGAAATATACTTTGCAAGAGGTTAAGGAGCAGAGAAAACTTAAAGAGAATTGTGAAAGCATAGAGAAAGTTCCTTGAGGCTTAGGTGTGGGTCAAAGAACAATTATATCTCACAGTCTTGAGATATGTATATATGTATATTCTGTATATGAGTATATTCAGTTGAATGACTTTTTATTCAGTCAATACTGTTGTTTTGCATGCTACCTTCAGTGAATTCCACACCTAAAAGTGTGTATAAATAAGCTCTAAGTTTGAGTGTTTGAGGATAAAGTTGAAGTATAGCCCATAATTTTATGTTCTTTATTTCTAAACATATACTGCACATAATAGAAGTAAACTTCATGTTTTTTTATAAACTTTAAGTTTTAAATAGTGTACATTTTTAAGGTGTACACTTTTTAAAACAGAAACCACACTTTAGTCATGTTCTACCACATCCATGAAATACTCATGGCATCAAAGATATTCAAATATATGTATTTTGTACATATTTCTTTGTGATTTACTGTTTCATTGAACTCCACCTACCATCACAGCTAGGTAATGCATGGTTCCACTGATGATTTTTCTCACAGATAAGGGGCTCATCATCACTTAGTGTATATCCTGGATCACAGCTGAAAGTCACTGTAGACCTGATGCCAAAATTATTGCCGTGACGATGGCCATTCACAGGAATTCCAGGATCAAGGCAAGAATCTGACTCTAAGGTCACACCTAAATGCATAACAAAAATATACATTTATATAAATAAATACAAGATTTATAGTAAAATAAGCATAGTAATGTCATGTATAAAATATTCCTAGACATCAGGAGACCTAGATATAATACATATCAATTTGAAAACCCACTAATGTGAAAATCAGTATATTCTCTAATAGTTGACCCTATTTTTCTGTGTTGTTGTTAGTAGGTATTGAATTGAATTTGATTCACGGTAACCTTGTTGTTGTTGTTGTTATGTGCCGTTGAGTCGGCCTCGACTCATAGCGACCCCTCCTTGGGTTTCCGAGGCAGTATCACTACGGAAGTAGGATTGCCCAACCTTCCTTCCGAGGAGTGGCTGGTGGGTTTGAACCGCCAGCCTTCTGGTTAGCAGTCAAGTGCTTTAGCCACTATGCTACCAGAGCTCACGGTAACCTTATATATAATCAAATAAAACATTGCTCAGTCCTGCACCATCCTCACCATCTTTGACGTGTTTGAGCCTAGTGCTTCACTTTGTGTGTCAATCTATCTTATTGAGGATTTCCCTCTTTTTTTGCTGCACTTTACCAAACATGATGTTCGTTTCAAGATTTCAGTCTTTCCTGATGTCGTGACCAAAGTATGCAAGAAAAGGTCTCAGTAACCTTGCTTCTGTTGAGCATTGCAAGTATATTTCTTCGAAGTCTGATTTATTCATTCTTTTGGCAGACCATGGGAGAGTCAATATTCTTTGGAAACAATACAAGTTGAATGTTTCAGTTCTTTTTTGGTCTTCTCTTGTTATTTTCAAAATATCATATGCTTATGAGTGATTGAAAAAAATAAAGCGTAGGTCGGCACATATTAGTGACAGCTTGCATTCTAATCTTTTAAAGAGGTCCTTGGCAGTAAATTTACCTAATGCAATGTAATGTTTAATTTCTTGATTGTTGCTTCCATGTGCGTTGATTGCTTATCCAAGTAGAATGAAATTCTTGGCAATTTCTTCACCATCTATAATGATGTTGTTTTTCAGCCCAGTCTTGAAAATTTTTTGTTTTCTTTATATTTAGATGTATTTTTTCAGATGATATCTTTGTAGTAAAACCCTGTGCAATTTGCTGACCTCTTTGAATTTTACTTTCCTTCATTTGAAAATTAATGGACTATGGTAAGTAAAATCAAAGTTTCTCTCTGTTTTCTATCTCCATCACTTCCTCTGCTTTTCATATTTTATGTTTCAGTTAGACTTGGCAGTCATATTTCCACCTTCATATATATGCAAAAGTACACTCAAGCACATACACATATAATTCGATATAAATCTAAATTTTCTCCATAACTTTACATATATATATATATATTTTTCAAATTTGCACTTAAATCAGCCACTTTCAAGATAACTGCAATTAGCCTATGTTGAAATATGTGAAAAAACTAAAATGCTATATTTTAGTAATTATGATTATGTCGTTATAAGAGTTTAGTTTCTCTTTCCTGCGTTACTTTTTATTTTTGGAATAATGTAAATTTTAAAATATAGGAACAAATGAGAATAAGGGAAGAAGGTTTTGTTGCAATGTTTATGTCTGATTTAAAAATTAAAAGACTTTTCAGGTGCTGTTCAGCACACTCCCAGTAAAGTTTAGGATATTTGAAATAAGACCTGAACAGTTAACCAACAATCTTTAAATGTGACCAATATTTATACTGTTTAGTCTCCAAAAGTGATCTTCAAAATATCGTTTAGTGTTATTACATACATTTTGCCAACATTTGAATGATGTAAGTTATGAATATACCTTTTATCATTAAGTCAAATACATAAAATTTAGCATTGATTATACATTTTAATAATTAATAAGGTTCTTCATTAACATAATTACAAACAAGATCCAATAGCTACAGAGCCATATGCAGGACAGTCAAATCAATACATGAAAATATATATATAGAAGATTATCATAGGGAGATAGTCCAATTAAACAAAACAAAACAAAAAATGAGCAAAGGAAAGAAATAGCAAAAAATTTTTCCCCAAGTTTTTTTTTTAAACAACCAATTTAAATAATTGTCTGAATTATACAAAACTTCTAAAAGTTTTGAAATAAAGAGTAAAAGTGCCATTTTACAAATGAGGCAAAAAGTCAAGAAAGTAAGCCAATTAATTATGTGAAATGACTTCCTGAGGTTCAAGCCTAAACCTTTGCTCTTGCTTCTCTCTCTCCTTCAGTCTCCCTTCAATCTTCCTCTCTCTCTTTCTCCATATTATGCCCAATTATATTGCACTCATTACTATTACATCTTGACCAGTTACTCTCTCTGATCATAAGAAATGACAATGAATCTCTGAAAACTATATATACACACGTGCACACACCACACACCATAAAGACTTAGTCTTTCTCCTATCATTTTTTTGTAATAGCACAATGTATGGATCACACAGTGGAATAAATACATATATGTGTAGTAAATCTTTATTTGTTCTTAAAATATTGTTTAAAAGATTGTTTTGCAAGCATTTCCAAGAAAAGCTTGAAAAATGACATGCAAAACTTTCATATACTTGAGAAGTCCATTTATTTTGCAATTCTATATAAAATCAAGTTATTTTAAAGTGGTGATTCGAAGATCAACAAACAAAGCAAATGATTATTACAGAGGGATAATGCAATTACTATCCTATAAAGAAACTGCCACAATCCTTATAAAGAATAGAGTAATAAGTGGATAAACTGTAATTGGGCAATATATTTATGATAGTGATGATTTATAAGACTTAGTACATAAAGCAGAACTGTAATACTAGGTCTGCTTTTATGAAAGCCTTAAAAAAAAAAAAAAAAAAAAAAGCCTCAACTCTTCTGCCAAACATTTCAGAAAATGCTTCTGAAGTTAATGCTGTTAATATTAGCTCCTATTATCGTATGGCACCAATGCAAAACTCAGTCAACCTTGAACACAATGTGGCTGCCATTTATATAATGCTTTATACCTATACAGTAAATTCCCATGCACCAATTTAAGTATGAAAGGAATCATTAATAACTTTATGAAGAAAGAAAGGTTTAGAATTGCTAATGTTTAGGCCAAAAGACAAAAGGGAAATGGGCATTACTGTTATTTTTAAATGGCAAGATGACTTTAACATAAATTACTCTCAGATCATAGGCAACTTGTGCTTTAAAATTGTGTTCAATGAGCAAGTATAATTATTTTCTATTGCCAGTATGTAGATCTCATAATATATTTCCTAAAAGAGTACTGGAAATATTCAAAATCATAAAGGGGATTATAATGTTTGCCTTTTCCTTGCTTTCCTCCTTTTCCTATCTCCCTCCCTTTTCTTTATTTTAATAAACATGTATTTCTAATATATTTTACAATATTAAATCCTCTTACATTGGCTCTCCTCTTCCTCTGTCTCCTCCTCATTTCCTTCTGACTGTAAGCCACTATCTTCCTGATGTGTTAGTTCTGCTCTTGTCATGGCCTCTCCAGCAGATTCAGGCACATGGTTGGTGTCTAACCTCCACCTCATTTATAATCACCTTGAGACTATGACTGAACTTTCAGAATTTTGGCGATCATAACAAGTGTAGCAAAGAAGAATGGGTCTCCATTTTACTACAATCCTCAGATGAATTTAACATGAAAGTTTGAGGAAAACTGCTCTTTCAGCATACTTTTTAAATATGAATGACCATCTAAATCAGTTGTAGAATTCTATAAAACTATTTATGTCTGGATACCACCCTCATAAAAGCAACCTAGAACATCTAGCTGGCACTCCAGTATATATTTTGTCTTAAAGTCTTATAGGTAACTGTGAAGTGCAACACGAGGTGATAACTTCTGTTTTAAAAATCCCAGACCTTCATGACTCATTTCTAATACAAATGTCCTATCTGTGTCTCAGTTGTTGGCACTTATTTCTTTGTTTTTCTTTAAATATATAACTATTGATACATAAATTGAAGCGATAACAAGTAAAAGTGTGATGCTCTTCTCTGATTATTATTATTATTATTATTATTATTAAATTTGCTTTCATGTTTTAAGCCAGAGGATTACACACAAAAAGATTTGGGACATTTTGCAAAAATCAATAGGAGTTTATGATATAGAATTCTGGATCATGTTTAGATCAGGACCCCTTTCACACTTTTTTCCTTAGCCCTGAGCTGAATAGAAATATAAAACAAGCTAAATGAGAACTTGTGACTCAATTTACTATGTTGTTGTTGTAATATGTCGTCGAGTCGATTGCGACTCATAGCGACCCTCTTTGGGTTTCTGAGGCGGTATCACTACAGAAGTAGTTTGGCCTATATTCCTTCCGAGGAGTGGTTGGTGGGTTTGAACCACCAGCCTTCTGGTTAGCAGTCAAATGCCTTAGGCACTACACCAACAGAGCTCCTTCAATTTACTATAGGTATACATACATACATATATATATATATATATATATAGAGAGAGAGAGAGAGAGAGACAGAGAGAGAGAGAGAGACAGAGAGAGAGAGAGATGGACATAGATAGATATATAGATATCTATCTATCCATCTATCTATCTATATATAGGAAGCTCTGGTAGCATAGTGCCTAAGGCACTTGACTGCTAACCAGAAGGCTGGCAGTTCAAACTGACCAGCCACTCCTTGGAAGGAAGGTTGGGCACTCTATTTCTGTATTAATACCACCTCCGGAACCCAAGGAGGGGTCGCTAGGAGTCAGGTCCAACTCGATGGCGCATAACAACAACAACAACAACATATGCATATATATATATATATATATATATATATATGTATATATTCATAGGAAGAAAGTGTAGGAATAACTCGTTTATTTAAATGAGTTATATGAGCAAATGAAACTAGCAGCTAATGGCTACCTATTGGCTTTAGAACACATTTTCTCAAAGAGTACTAGAAATAAGCAAAATAATTTATGACTGGAAATGAGAGAGCAAGAAAGTGAGTCAGAGGAGAGGGGAAAAAAAAAAGAAAAAATTTGTCAATTCTGATTCATAGAGACTCCCCCACTTTGGATTTCCAAGACAGTAAATCTTTATGGAAGTAGATAGCTTCATCTTCATCCTGCAGAGCAGCTGCTGGATTTGAACCACCAACCTTCTGGTTAGCAGCCAAATGTCTTACCTACTACACCAGCAGAGCTCCTTATAGTACATATAAGTGCCTGCAATCATTTCTTCTCTTAGGTTTAATAAGTAATGACTTTGAATTAAATTTGAAATTAATCTTTGTTATTAATAATCACATTTTCTTGACATTAATAAAATATAATTAACATTTGTAGTTCTTAGAATATTTCCTGTACAATTTCAGGTAAAAGTTCATTTGGAGGATTTGGGACCAAAGTTTGGATGGATGGTTGACTCAGTGGTCTACTTAACTGCATAGAAGTTTTTGTGCTAATTTCACAAAGGGTCAATTCAATTTCAAATAAGCTATGGATGACTGCTTAATAATAACTATAAGGTTATAAGCATGTGTATACACAAAAATGGGAGTTCTGGTGGCACAGTGCCTAAGGTATTTGACTGCTAACCAGAAGGCTGGTGGTTCAAACCCACCAGATGCTCCTCAAAAGGAATTTGGGCAATCTATTTCCACAGTGACACTGCCTCAGAAACCCAAGGAGAGGTCACTATGAGTCGAATCCTATTTGATGTCAGTGAGTGAGTGAGTTAATACACAAAAATATATATAAACAGTAACATTTAAATTATCCTGTTTATTGTTGAGCCATAGGTCATAAAAATAACCATTAAAATTCTGCAAGTAAAATACCATTTCATTAGGTCAAAGTTTTCAAATGTTAATCCCCGTTTTTCATTCTACTCTGAAAGTAAAGCTTTACCAGTGAGAAAAATAATAAAATAATTTCTATTAGTATTTTATTTTTAAAAATATATTTCCAAGAGGAATCCCCTTCAGTTATATTCCAGAAGTATACTTTCACATACACTATTATAAAATATAATGACTTGATTGAGTAATTTCTGAAGTGAAAACAGCCAAAATTTGATTTATGGAAACAAAAATAAGAAGGGATGCTTAAAGTTGCAACTGTCTTACAAAATATATTCTGTTTTAATATTTAACAATTGTTCTTAAATATATTTAACAATTATTTTTTAATATTTTTATATAATTGTCAAAATATTTTAAACAATTATTTGATATTTGATAAGCCTATAGTTAGTTCCTTCTCTCTTAGTTACACGTTTTCAACCCATTGGAACTTGTTCACGTGGACTGAAAAATAAATATCACTGACTGTCCTAATCATATTTTTAAAGCAAAGAATTCTCCTCCCTCTTGCTTAGGACATGTAATCTTAATAACATGTTTTAGAATTATTTTAGCAAATAAGTAAATATTCTAATGGTAGAAATATATTATTTCATATAGTAAATCAATGTATTTTAAATATTTTACTTTAACATATACAAATAATAAATATATTTGAGAATTCTCCAAGATGCTCTCTTATTAGTAAAAGAAGATTCTTATAATTATGTAATATAGTTCTGGTAAAGTCTGATAGAATCAATGAATTAGCTGTAATCGGTATGCTTGAGGTTGTTGTTGTTGTTATGTGCCGTCGAGTCCGCCCCGATTCATAGCGACCCCTCCTTGGGTTTCCAAGGCAGTATCACTATGTAAGTAGGATTGCCCAATCTTCCTTCCAAGGAGTGGCTGGTGGGTTTGAACCGCCAGCTGTCTGGTTAACAGGCAAGTGTCTTAGCCACTATGCTACCAGAGCTCCCATGCTTGACATTAAGAACATGCAAATTAAATTCAAACAAGCATTTTGACTTACTTTCATAGTGGATGAGGAAGCCAATACTGGAGCGGCTATTGTCTGTGGTGAAAAGTAGATACATAAAATTTCCTGTACTTATGAGGAACTGTGGTGCTTGCGTGCCATGGTACTCTCCAATCAGTGGGGATGAATTTGCTGGACCATCTCTGACTTCTAACGTGTCATAATTGACTTCAGTCTGAAATCTGCAAATACGTATATCAAGTCAGAAGAGAAATTTAAAACCACGTTAGCATACACGTATTCTGTTAATATCATCATGAATTCACTAAACATACAGGTACATCAATGTAATTTATATAGTTTAAATTATATATACATTTTAAAATTTAAGGATATAAAGTATTTAAGGATAGAGCTTTTTCTGTACGAATAAGCAATATCATGATAGATGGAGAAAATATTGAAGTTGTCAAGGATTTCATTTTATTTGGATCTACAATCAATGTCCATGGAAGCAGCAGTCAAGAAATCAAAGAACTTAATGCTTTGGGCAGATCTGCTATAAAAAGGCTACATTAGAGTATTAAGAAACAAAGACGTCACTTTGAAGACTAATGGGCACTTCACCCAAGCCATGAGATTTTCAATTGATTCATATGAATGCAAAAGCTGGATGATAACTAAGGAAGATGAAAGAGAAAATTGTGCCTTTGAATTATAGCATTAGCTAAGAATATTGAATATACCATTGACTGCCAGAAGAATCAACAAATTTGTCTTGGAAGAAGTGCAGCCAGAATGTTCCTAAGAAGAGAGAATTGCGAGACTTCATCTTATGTACTTTGAAAAGGTTATTAGGACGGATTAGTCCCCAGAGAAGAATATCATGCTTGGTAAAGTAGAGGTTCAGCGATAAAGAAGCCCCTCAACAAGATTGATTGGCACAATGAGTGCAACAGTGGATTCAAACATAGCAATGATTGTTAGGATGATGCAGAACCAGGCTATTGTTTGTTCTTTTGTATGTATAGTCACTATGAGTCAGAACTGCTTCAATGGAATTTAACAACAACACTTTTCCGGAATAAAGGTACATTGTAAATCCCTCACTTTCTCCTAATACTCTGGTTTGTATCAGCACAGATATAAAAGGGTGAAGATAGCTGAATAGCTGTAAAATAAAAATATTTTGAAAAAAATCTGTTGTTGGTAGGTGCCATTGAGTCAGCTCTGACTCACAGTAAACCTATGTATGACAGAATGAAACACTGGCCAGTCATGCACCATCCTCACAATCCTTGTTATATCTGAGCCCATCGTTGCAGCCACTGTGTCAAGCCATCTTTCTGAGGGTCTTTCTCTTTTTTGCTGACCCTCTACTTTACCAAGCATGATAGCCTTTTCCAGGGAATGGTGCCTTCTGACAAAATGACCAAAATAGGTAAGACAAAGCTTCCAAGGAGCATTCTGTCTGTAATTCTTCCAGACTTAGTAGTTCTTTTGGCACTCCATGATGCTTTCAGTATTCTTCACCAACACCACAACTCAAAAACATCAAATACTTCTTTGATCTTCCTACTTCATTGTCACAAGCATATGAGATGATTGAAAAGTAGTTTTCAAAAATAAACTAATAAACAAATAAGTAAACACATGAAATTTTATCAATTATTATGCAGTTTCACACTACTGTTCATGCTTTCCATTGAACAAAATTAGGGGCTTCTTAAATTGGGCACGCTGAAGTGAAATGATCTCTTCAAGGAGGAGGGTAATTTAAAATACATGGCAACCCTTTAAGCATTCTTCATGAAGAAGAAAATCTTGTGCCTTTTTAAATTGCATTAACTCTTTCAAGACAAGCATTCAAGTAAGCATTTTGCTACTTCAGAAACCAAATGATACTTTAATGATTTGAAAAAGTTAGAAGAGCTTCCAAAATGTGCTTAACTTTTCTTCAAAGAGGATGTTATGCCTGTAGAGTATCTGGCTCAAGATTATTTTTATACAAAGTTGCAACCACTTGGGTACTTTTTATGCTATGAAGGTACCATTCCAAGCACTAAGATAATTTTCTAAATGGGCTCATCTTGTCCTCAAAGAGCTAACCCGGTTTCCAAGTGTCTGACTGTACTCTCAGGGAGAAGCTTATCCATTGTAAAACTGTGACTCACTCAGTGACTTTGAGCCAAAGATATCCATTGAAGCCATTATCCTCCATACTTTGTATTGAATATTGCTGATGAAGAAGAAGACAACTGGAGAGCAGAAACTTCCTAACTTAGTTTCACAGCACGTAACAACAAAAATGGGTGTTCATTTCGAAAAGCTTTGCCCTGTTTTTCATTAAATTATGTGTACTCTTCTTGGCACAAAAGCACAATAATGATACATTCTTGCATATAACTAGGTTGTTAGTTAGGTGACTTTCATGGTTTCATAGAAGAGGAATTAAAACTTTTGTGTACCACAGGGTTAGTGCATTTGGAGTAGGACAGGGCCATCTTTGTTTTTGACTACTGTAATACTTCCACTAAAAACTCTAAGATTTCTGTTTCCTGGGTTCAACTTCACAAAGATGGGACACATATGAAATAAATCTAATTGATATATTTACGTTAAAATAGTCATATCTGCTCACTCTAGTAAAAGCTACGACTGATATAATGCACACCCTTCAACAACTGAAAGTTTTTAATGATATCCTCCTTATGCAACAGAATCATGAGTATAGAATTTAAACTTTGTATGTGGATGCATGCCTTTTATCAAAATCCAGCACATGGTTCAATGTGTAAACTCACATAATTTTAGAAGAAAATGAAAAATGTCTGAAAATATGAGAAATGTTAGATGCTTATGAGTGGAATTTAGTAAAATATCACAGTGAATTATTATCAAAAAGACAAGACTGGAGAAAATTATATGAATAACTTTGGTCAGGCAAGTGAAAATGAGTTGTGCAAAAGTAATATGTAAAAACGTGATTTTTACTAAATGATGTAAATTTGTTGTGGTACTTGGAATCACAATATGCTTGTCCCTTCTTTTCTCATATCATAAAATGTAAAGACTAAAAGAAAATAAAATTCAATGTATTTAATATTTATAGAAATAAGCTTTTAAAAAAGATTACAATTATAAACAGAAACCTATAATTTTTTTTTTTTTTTTTCTTTTCTCCTGAGAGATTATCCTGCCGGAGATTACTATCATCCTATCAAAATTGAATAACAACATGAGTAAAAATTTCAAAGACAAATAGTTACTAAATATAATTCAACTCCAGCTAAATCTTTTCTTGATTTGATGTCATCATTGATTATTAGAAAATCAGTGGTTAAAAATATAGAAATATGTTCTTGAAACATAACATTCTGAATACTAAACAGAACTTGGTCTGGTTAAGAAAAAGGGTATTTTAGAGAAAGCTCAATATTTTTCAGAGATTAAACTTGAAATATTAAAGAAGGATGATTCCTTAGACAGTAAAGCATATGACTAGCTTCAAAATACTGAAGTTTTTAATCATCAATTTGACTTCAATGTTGAGACAAGTAGGAAAACACTTTATCATGGAAAAATCAAATAGAACTTTTTTTTTTAGATTATCTGATATATTATAAAATAATTAATAAAACTACTCCTCACTATTGACTATCCTTTTACCCCATAAGTCATATTTATGACAATAGTAAAAAGTCCACTATCTGACATTTCTGTGTGCCTGGCATTAACAAACACCAAGGTGCAAGGTGAGAGTAACGCTGGCTGTGATGGTTAAGATTACTTATCAACTTGGCTGGGCCATGATTCTCAGGTATTTGGCAGTTATGTAAGGATGTAATTTAGCAGTTAGGTAATGACATAGTCATCTTCCACTTTGTGATCTGATGTAGTTATCCTCCATTTCCACATAATGCCTATTTTTATATGACAATCTAGTCTTTGGAACCCTAATCACATTGGTAAGTGAAGAATGGATGTATAAACATTCCAGTCATGTTGTTGTTGTTGTTATGTGCCGTCGAGTCAAACCCAACTCATAGCGACCCCTCCTTGGGTTTCCGAGGCAGTATCACTATGGAAGTAGGATTGCCCAACCTTCCTTCCAAGGAGTGGCTGGTGGGTTTGAACCGCCAGCCTTCTGGTTAGCAGTCAAATGCCTTAGGCACTAAGCTACCAGAGGTCCCATTCCAGTCATCATCCATATTGTCTTAAAAGAACTAAATATTTCATCTGTGTACTCATCCTGTTGCCAGTTCTGCAACCTAAAGTTCCTCTCCATTTACCAAAAAAGCATAAGAAACACAAGATGAGGTGTTTTCCAATGCTGTTTCAGAAAGTACCTAAGGCACCAAAGGGACCCTGAGCTACTTCCCTGAGCAAGCCAAACCAGAGCCAAACTCTTTCTACTTGGGTTTCAGGATCCAGAGTTGAATTTAAGAGCCAGATATTGCAATCTCTGGGAAATAGTTCTCAGGGATTACCACTTCCCCACATGTTTTGTAGAATTGTCTGACAGCAGTTCTCAGTAGGATGCTTTTACTGAATGACTTAACTTTTGGGTTGTTGTTGTTGTTATGTGCCCTCGAGTCGGACCTGACTCATAGCAACCCCTCCTTGGGTTTTCGAGGCAGTATCACTATGGAAGTAGATTGCCCCATCCTCCTTATGAGGAGTGGCTGGTGGGTTTGAACCGCCAGCCTTCTGGTTAGCAGTCAAGTGCCTTAGGCACTATGCTACCAGAGCTTCTAACTGTTGGGTTAAAGGAAGGAAGTTCAAAAAGAACAAAAACTTATCAAAAAATGATTATTGCATGTTAAGTGAATTCCATTTGGGGAAGCAACATAGAATTGTCACCTTTCTAAATTTTAAGATCCATTTAAAGAAATATTGAGGATACATGAATTCCTAGGTTCATATTAATGATAAAAAAAAATTATTATTATTATTATTTTACCTATCAAAAGTTATTTTGATGGAGTGTCCTGGTTTTGCTTCAATTATCCATTCACAATTTAAAGAATCTTTATAATATCCTGGCCATCCAGGAGGCAAAATAACTCCACCTGAAGCTGTCAAATGTCCACCACATGGTGCTAGGAAAGAAAAATTCAGAGTATTAATATCTCTGAATTAATATCATGAGACATGATATTAATCAGGTTAAATTAAATATATTGAAGATACATTGTAACACTTCAATAGAAACAGGAATCTGCTTCTGTGCTAGATACGATATTTTAAATATTAAAGCAAAATTCATCCCAAAAGTAAACTGTAAGTTCACTGAAAGAAGAGTCTATATATTTCTCATATAATCATTTACCCCTAATTTCATACAGCAAAATTATTTTACTCTAAAAAGGTACTGTACAATTGAGTGCTGTGCTAAATGAGTTACATAGATTATTTCATATATTCACCACAACAACTTTATGGGGTATACACCATTATCATCCATATTTTACAGGTATTCAGAAATCAACATATATATATTGATTGTCAAGTTTAAAATCACTTTATATCTAAATTTAAAATACCCCATGGTATGTGTGTTAGAGAGAGAGAGAGAGAAGTTAAAGAGAGAGAGAGAGAGAGAGAGAGAGAGGGAACACTTTGGGTTGTATTCATTTCATTAGAATAATTTGCCACATGTATAATACATTCCAAATAAATCTTAACAAATAAAACAAAATTTTCAATCAAATTTGATAAACACAGAATTAGTCAGCATTGATTGTTTTGAAGCTGTGTGTAAAAGGCAACAATTTATAACTATGAAAAAGAAAGGAGTTTGACATTTAAGAAAGTTATTTACCTCATGATCAGTAAGGATAATCATGCATTCATATAAAATAAAGGAATTTTCAAATAATTGGCTATCACTGTTTAAAAACTATGCTTACAATATATTTTCAGCTAACCATTTTTTCCTGATTTTATCTATTTTTTTCAAAGTTATTTGTTATTAGTAACCTTCTTTCTGAATCAATAAGTATTAAAAATACATGAAAATATGCTCAGTTAAAAATTATAATCATTTGTGCAAAACTTATCCACCCATTTCTATGGAAAAATGGCAACATTGATCAAAATGTTGAAACATATTCATAAAAATTTTACCCAGGTAGTGATATTAAAAAATGAAATATGACAAAGAGAAATCTAAAAAAAAGCACTATTTATAAAAGAAAACAAATTTAAAAAAAAAGAAAATATTGTTTTAAAAAGAAAATAAAGTAAAATATTATGAAAAGAATAAAACTATATAATGGAATATAACAAATATTTTTTACGTATTCTCAAATTTTCATATGAGAAATTCTTTGTGAAAGAATATTAAATTTTAAAAATCAGGGTACAAAACTATATAGTATAATACAAATTTAGTGAGGAAAATTTTTATTAAGAGAAGAGATGGAAACTCAAAAATATACTAAGAGAATATGAGAGTAGGTGCTTGCTTTATAGATCACATTTTTAAAAATCTAGTTTATTTTCAAAATAAGCTACAGTAAGTATGCATTATTTAGTTGAAAATTTATAATCAAAATCATTTTTATAAACATGAGTCCTTGAAGAAACTTTAACTCCTATAATTATTATCTAATAAAAATTTT